AATTAATGCCCATCTCAGGAAGGAAGGTGGGTCTCTTGTGACTGGATAGCACCTCCTAAGAGCATGTAGTTATAAGTGTGGCCATTCCACATGCTTGCCCCTTTTGTATACAGCCAAAATGGTTTCCTTTACATTTCTCTTCCATGTTATTATGCAGCCAGGGGCCCTTACCAGGATGCTGGTGCTATGCTGTTTAGACCAGATTTGTGAACTGAAAGTAAAGCCAAAGTAAACTTATTTGTAAGTTACCCAGCCTTAAGTATTTTATTATAGCAACACAAATACACTAAGACAAATACTGTCAAGATTTTGAAGGGTGATTTCAATTCAGAATTCTATATTAAAGCCAAGTATTCATTGAGTATGAAGGTAAAACCCACCTTTCTCATTTTCAGACATGCAACAATCCAAATTGTACCTCCTGCATGCATTTTCTTAGGAATATACTGGAAATGTGTTTGAACACAAAGGCAAATGATGACTAAAGAAGATGTAGCATCCAGGAAACAGGAAAGGAGGGGAGAGAATGTGTGCAGAATTCCTGGAAAGCAATTGGTCCAGATGGGTCAGAAGGCTCTGGAAGGAAGGTCTTTCAAAGCAAGAGAAGGAGAGACCAGACCAGACTGCTGCTGTGTTCCCACATTTGTACAGTAGTTTGTTCATACATGATATGATGTTCAATATAAGGACAGATGTACAGAAAAATCACACATATGAAAAATGCAAATATTTAACTCCAGAAAAACAAACAAAGAAAAGAAATGCTCCACTGGGTGTGATGGACAATGCCTGCAATCCCAGAACTTGGGAGGCTGAAGCAGGAGGATCATGAGTGCAAGGCCAGCCAGAACATAGTGAGACCCTAAAGAAATGCCTCTGTAGTTCACTATGGGGTTATAGAATGAATAATTCATACATATAATACATAAACATCTGTTACTGATTAACTCTCTATTGGGAAAACCAATATTATGAGGATGAGATGGAGAAAGAGAGTGCTGGACTTGAAGGGAGAGTGGATTGAAAATTGCCAAATCTTCATTCATCACAACAGGAAGCTAAAAAAAAATAGTTTAAAATAATAAACCCAAACAACAATTTAAAATCATGATGCAACCTACTGGTTGTCTCAGGAAGGATAGAAGGTCATTGTTTTGTAGCAGGGAGGAGGGCCAGAAAAGAAGCAAGCAAGTCTGTGTTCTGATAATGTAGAAGTGGGGAGGGGATGTCATAGCAGGGAGATAAAACTTAAAGAATCTAAACGTGAGGAAGGTCACATAGCACTGGGGGTTTGAAGTAGTCAACGGAGTTGCATGCAACCATATATGGGTTAAGCCTTGCTAAGAAGCAAGGCTTCTTGCTTCTGTAACCTGCTTACAAGGGTATACAAGGTAAGGCCCCTTTGTTCTTGGGGCTCAGCCTTTGGACTCAAGTCTGCTGAGTTGGTGCTGGCACAATAAAATGTTGCTTTCTGCTGAACTGCCTCAGTGTCCCGTGTCTCTGTTCAAGAATCCCACAACATTTCTAGGGGCTCATGTCCAGGATTTCAGAGATGGTGATTTTTCACCTCCCTTGTCACTGGGTTGCATCCCCAAGACCACCAGAAGAAATGATCCTGCCAAGCACCAATGGACGGTTTGATTCAGAGGAGGGACTCATTCTCCAGGAGACTAGAGGTAAGGTCCTCGGATGCACAATGGAACCCAGAGATGTACAGGAATCAGCAAGGGGAGTGATGCCTGTCAGACTGGTAAGAACCTGAGTTCAAATATTAGGCCCGCCCCTAAGTGGCAGAAGGGGAACTTAATCACCTCCTGGAGTCACCTGAGTAACTTTGAGTGAAAGCAAAACCATAACTCCTAGGTTCTGGGAGCAGGGCAGAAATGTTGGATGCCTGCATGTGAATGTGTGTAAATGAGACGTGCCTTGACTACGAAACAAGTGTGGAGTCTGGCTAAGAGACCCTAAGTCCCACAAAGGGAGTGGCTGGAGACAGACAAAGGAAGTGAGGACTCTGTGTAGGTGCAGTTCCTGGCCAGGTGACCACGTCCAGATCACCAGTAAGGGGCAAGTATTGTTCTTTCCAGTGTGTTGGAGAAGGAGACCCCTTAGCTCACCTCCAAAACCTCTGCCTCTCCATTTCTTTCTTGACATCTGGTAATGGAAGGAAATGGGTGGAAATCAGAGTAAAAAACACCCCCTTTGTGTGTATGGTTAAACACTTTAAAAAGGGATTTAATGGAGACTATGGGGTTAACTCCTAACAAACTTAAGGCCCTTTGTGAAGTAGATTGGTCACTTTTGGCATAGGGTGGCCCCTGGAAGGGTCACTAGACAAAACTGTGGTTATTGAAATTTATAGAGTAATTGTAGGGAATCCTGGGCACTCAGATCAGTTTCTCTATCGTGATTGCTGGCAGGATGCTGTCCTCAGCTGGCCCACATGGCTAAGGCCCTGTCTGGAAGAGGCCTCTAGAATTACAGCAGCTAGGGTGGCAGCATCTTCCAAGTGTAGAGAAAAAGCAAAGGAGCTGTACTGGCTGAGGAACCTGAGGTGGTAACAGCATACAATGTGCCACTCCATCCACCTCTACCACCAGTGCCAGTTCCACACCCTGCCCTTTGACATCAGATGTGGAAGGCTGAGGAACAGTCACACCTGTAAAATCTGGCCTGGAAGCCTCTGGGGCCTCAACTCCCCTGATCTCTCTGAGTCCTATGGACCCCATACCCACTCCTAGTCCACCAGTGCTCAGTGCACATCCGCCATTCAACCAGGGGCATCTAACCAGTCTCCATGAGGACCCCTCCTCTCATGAGACTCCCACTGCCCTGCAGATGCTCCCAAGGGAGGTCCAAGACCCAATGTATTATGAACAGGATGTTCAAATACAAGGAGGAAGGATATTTGTCTACCAGCCCTTTACCACCACAGACCTCCTAAACTGGAAACATCATACCCACTCCTTCATGGAAAAGCCTCAGGCTCTGATTGATTTGATGCAGTCTATCATCCAGACTCATAAACCCACCTGCAAAGACTGTCAACAGCTTCTTCTGACTCTACTTAATACTGAAGAGCAATGCCATAAAATGTTGGCAGCTCCAAAGTGATTAGATCATGCCCCTGAGGGCACTCTAAATGATCAAGTATTTGCTAAAGCTCAGTTCCCTGAGGAAGACCCCCATTGGGATCCCAATGATGACTAAGACTACAGATGACTTGAATGATATCGGGAGGCACCATAAGGAGGCATGAAGGAAGGAGGGAAAAAGGCCACGAACATGAGCAAAACAGCAGGGGTCCTCCAAGGTCCAGACGAGAGTCCCAGCAAGTTTTATGAGCATTTGTGTGAGGCCTTCCACTTGTATACCCTCTTTGATCCAGAAGTCACTGAAAAACAGCAGATAATTAACCCCCACTTTTGTTGGCCAGGCCCAGGGGATATAAGGTAAAAATTGCAGAAACTGGAGGAATTTTATGGAATGAACACCAACCAGCTTCTGGAGGTGGCCACAAAGGTCTTTATCTATAGAGATCCAGAGGCAAGATCCAACAGAAAGATGTAAAGGAACATCTGGTTGTAGCCCTTGTTGAACAGTCAGGTGGGCCCTAGTGAGCTAATCTAGGCAGAGATGGGGCAATCACAACGGATGGTGACCAATGCCCTCAACCTCCCTCCCTGGGGAGGAACTAGGGCAAAATCAATGAGTTTACTGTTGTCAGGAAGGGCACTAGAAGAATGAATGTCCCCAATGGGCCAGAGATTCCCAGAAGGCTCCCCAGACCAGAGAGAGCCCAAATTGTTGAGGGATAGTATCAGCCTTGCTGCAAGGGAGGCTGGGCTCTGGGAGGCAAGCACTGTCAGAATGGCAGGCCTGGATGGTTATAAGGAGGAATACGACAGACTAGGCTCAATTCTATTAGACCCCCAGGATGCTAGGTCCGAATGAAAATAGGGGCCATTCCATTGATCTCATGGTGTCACATGTACAGAACATTCAGTTGTTACCCAACCAGTGGGCCCCCTATCCAAAAAGCATACAATTGTTATTTGGGCTACAGGGGAAAGGACCCAACATCCTTTCTTAGGGTCCAGATAATGCAATCTCGGGAGTCATGAAGTAAGGCATGAATTCCTTTATCTCCCCAATTGCCCCATAAACCTGATGGGCAGGGACATATTATGCAAACTGAGGGCACATATAACTTTTGAGTCAGATGGCACAGCAGACTTAAATTTGAGAGGAGTTGAGGGAAGTCCCCCTGAGATTCTTGAGCTTTCCTTCAAGATTCCAGGTGTATGGGCTGGAGATAACCCCCCAGGTATGGCCAAAAATGTGCCCCCAGTAGTGGTGGAACTAAACCTGGGAGCTACCCTCATCAGCCAAAAACATTACTTTGTTCCCTGTATGACCCAGGTTGGAATTCAAAAACACTTTGACAGACTCTTATAATATGGGATCTTCCAACCTTGCCAGTCATCCTGGAACACCCCCTTATTACCACTGCAGAAACTGGGGACTAAGGATTTCAGGCCAGTTCAGGACCTCCAGGCAGTAAATTCAGCAACTGTCACTTTGCACCCCATAGTCCCAAATCCATATGTGATTTTAGCCCTTGTCCTAGATGAGGCAAAGTTTTTTACCTGCCTAGATCTTAAAAATGCATTCTTCTGCATCCATCTGGCCCCACAGAGCCAGTCTACTTTTGCCTTCCAGTGGGAAAATCCCAATAATGGAGAAAAGGGGCAACTAACCTGGACTCAATTGTCACAAGGTTTCAAGAATTTGCCCACAGTTTTTGAAACTGCCATGGCATCTGAACTCAAAGCTTTCTCAGCTGACCACCATGGCTGCACACTCCTCCAGTATATGGTTGACCTCCTGCTAGCTGGACCAACTCAGGAGGACTGTATGGAAGGGACTCACTTTCTCCCTTCTCTTTTATGGGAATCAGGATACAAAGTCTCTAGGAAAAAAAAAACACTGTCAATTACCTCAGCTTTCACCTGTCCCAGGAGCAATGCAGGGTTGTCCCTGAGAGGTAACAGGATGTCTGTTCCATCATAGCCCCTAAGATCCACCAGCAAGTCAGAGTTCTTGGGAGCTGTAGGTTTCTGCCAAATCTGGATCCCTAATTACTCCCTCTTGGCCAAAGCCCTCTATGAATTCACAAAGGGAAGAGAATGGGAACACTTATTATGGGGGGAAGAACAAGAGAAAGCCTTTAAAGAAATCAAGAGGGCACTCACAAATGCCCCTACTCTAGGCCTGCTGTATGTGATGTAGTCCTTTTTCTTGTATGTCCATGAATGAAAGAGGACACTTATTGGGGTCTTGACACAGTTACTAGGCTTCTGGCACCAACTGGTGGTTTACTTGTCAAAACAACTCGATGCTGTCTCCTGTGGCTGGCTGACTTGCCTGTGTGCCCTAGCAGCCACTGCTGCCCTGGTGGCCCAAGCAGACAAGCTTACTCTAGGGCTCCCCACTCCATCTGGATGCTCATGGAGTGTAAGGGAAATTATTGGCTGACCAATAATTTGGGTGATCAAATACCAGAGTATGCTATGTGAAAACCTGCACATCCAGCTGGAGGTTGTTAAGACTCAACACCTGGCCACCCTGTTGCCAGATGATTCAGGCCCCCCGGAGCATGGCTGCTTACAGGCTTTAGATGAGGTCTTCTCAAGCCAGCCAGATCTAACCAATCAGCTTATCAACTATCCAGGCATTGAATATTTCATAGATGGCAGCAGCTTTGTCCAAGATGGCACATACTTTGCCAGGTATGTGGTGGTGACATTGGACTTGGTCATTGAGGCTCACCCACTGCCAGTTGGGACTTCTGTGGAAAAGGCTGAACTTGTTGCCCTCATGCAGGCACTCCAGCTCACTGCAGGAGTACAGGTAAATATCTACACTGACTCCAAAAATGTCTTCACAATCATTCATGTCCATGGAACCTTATGTAAAGAGAGGGGACTCATTAACGTGGGAGGAAAATATATCAAGTATGAGCAGGAAATCCTCAAACTGCTAGATGTTGTATGGGCCCCTAAACAGGTGGCAGTTATACACCACTGAGGGCACCAAAAGGGATATGCAACAATTGCTTGGGGAAACTGGAAAGCTGACAGGGAGGTCAAACAAGCATCCCTTATGAGGGGAGCAGCCCTGACTGCCCTGATGGCTGCCTTGTTCCCATGTCCCTTAGCTGAATGGGACACATGGCACACAATACAAGAAAGGCTTGGTTTAAGACTGAGGAGGGAAATTTTCTACCAGATGGATGGTGGAAGTTTGCTGATGGCTGCATTGCCATACCTGAGTCACTGGTTCCTACATTTGTCAACTAGTTCCACAAAGGAATTCATTCAGGGCAAACAGCACTCAAAACCACCCTGACCCAGCACTTTTATGTCCTCAAACTCTCCAGCATAAGTAAGTCAGTATGTGAATGATGTAGCCTATGTGCCAAAAACAACTCCCAGCAAGGGCCAAGGGCGCTCCCTCAGGCACAGAACGTTGGTGGAACTCCTCTTGAAAACTTCAAATGCTGTGAGCTCAAGCATGAAAATATCTGTTTGTGTTTATCTGCACCTTCTCAGGATGGGTGGAAGCCTTCCCCATGTGGATGGAAAAGACCCAGGAGGAGACCAGATATCTGCTAACAGAAACCATCCCTTGGTTTGGAATACCTGTGTCCATTTCATCAGATAATGGACAAGCCTTTGTGTCCAAAGTAATACAGCTAATGGCTAAGAGCTTAGGAATCATGTGGAAATTGCATATTCCCCAGAACCAACCCCAGAGTTCAGGAAAAGTGCAATGTATGAATAGAACCCTAAAATTGCAATTGGGAAAACTGTGTCAGGAGACCTATCTGCAGTGGGATCAATTACTACCCATAGCATTACTGAGGATTAGGTCTAGTCCCATGAAACAGACAGGGCTTTCACCTTTTGAAGTCCTTTATGGATGCCCATCCCCCTTAATCAAGTGCATATGGGGGTCTCTCAAAGAAATAGGTGACTTCACCTTGAGGCAACATATGCAGGCCATTGGGTTGATTCGCTCAAGGATCAATGACTGGGTCTAGGAGTGACTTCTTGTCTCTCTTACAGGGTAGGGGATGCTGTCCAGGTAAAGAAATTAATGTCCAACCTTCAAAGCCTCATTGGAGAGGCCCTTTGTTTCAATTTTGTCCATTCATACAGCAGTTAAAGTTGCAGAGATTGCTCCTTGGATCCACCACAGCTGAGTAAAGCCAGCCTCTCTTGAATGGGAATGCATCCCTGACCCAGGCTCACCATGCAAGATCACCTTCTGGAATGCCCATGCCCTTCCCTGACAGGACTCTGCTCCCTAGGAGACAGCAGGGAACCATGCATGATGGGATGACAGCCCTGCTCTAGTTACTCCAGAAGCTGACTAGTCTATTTATGGTGGAAGCTCAAACATGGGACCCATCCGTGTTTTCCTCTACACACTTGGGCTCTTACCTTTTGGGTTGGCCCTTGCAAGGTTTCCCTCATGTTCTGAATGTTATAAGAGAGCCTTTGTTGGGACCTCCACACAGCCATACTTTGTATCATACACCCATCAACAGGTAGGATGTTACATAGGCTCATATACTCCTCAGGCTTGTGAGGTTGCTGGTAGGCGATACTGGAAGTACTAAAGTAAGGGAAACAATGCAGGCTACATTTCTCATGGGAAGCATGGAGAATGTGTCTGTTGGGCTTATTTGGGATATTGGGGAATCTCTGATAGTGGGGGAGTCCAGGACCTATCTCGGAAACAACTTGTTAGAGAGACAGCACACCAAATGTCAAAGGTACTCCCACCTAGACCAGGGCTGGCTGCCAATAAAAGCACTGGGTCAATGTATAATAAAATCAGAAGCAAATTAGGCAGAGGATTAGATCTCCCAACAATAGGGAAAAATCTTTTTGTAGAGCTGGCAGAAAGGATTGCTAAAGAACTAAATGTCTCAATCTGCTGGGTGTGTGGAGGTGCTCTCATGAGAGGAATGGCCTTGGAAAGGGACCAGTCTAAATGCTTACCAACTTTTATTATGTAATCAGTCTATAACTAGACAAGAGAAAAACCGACCTCAAACCTGGATTCTCACATCAGAGGTAACTGGGGAAGAATGTATCAAAAGAACTGGGCCAGGAGAGAAAAGTGGGAGAGAGAAACCATCTGTGAAAGGGTACTGTCTTGGAACAGGACTAATCTAACCTGGTGGCCTGCTGGGCCTACATGGTATTGTGCGTTGCCCCCATCAGAAATGGTTCCCAATGTCATAATTCTCCAACAAATGACAACCTCTTAAATTGTCCTACTACCAGTGAGGTGAACTCATTCCAAGGAATCCCTGAAATTGGCAAATATTGGAACAACCTCACCAATACTGACCTGGGGCGGTGGAGGGCATGGCTGGGTTATTTTGTGTATGTAGGAAGTGAGCTTATACCAAACTCCCTAGGACTTGGAAGGGAAGCTGTACTATTGGAGTTATCCAGCCAAGGTCTTCCTCCAGGGGAACAGCTGGAGTTCCCCTTTCTGAAACTCTGGGGCCTAGAATAAAATGGCACCTTGGGGTGGGGGACCAACAGAGATGGGGAGAAGATGAATGGTCTCCCCAGAGGATTATTGAGACCAATGGACCAGTCATCTAGGCACAGGATGGGAGTTGGGGTTACCAGACTCCTATCTATATGCTCAACAGAATCATTACATTACAGGCAGTCATGGAAATGATTAGACCTCTGCCCTAGAGCTACTGGCCAAGCAACAGACCCAAAAGTGAGCTGCTATATATCAAAATCACCTGGCTGAGGAGGGGGAGTATGTGGCAAGTTCAACCAATCAGACTGTTGCCTCCACATAGATGACAATGGTCAAGCAGTAACAGAAATTGTCACTATTAGAAAGATGGCACATATACCCTGACAGGTGTAGAAAGGACCCAGATAGTCTGTTCAGTGGGTGGTTCTCTGCCCTGGGCAGATTCAAAACCCCAATAGGAGCATTGGGTCTAGTCTTCGGAGCATGTCTGATGTTACCCTGCCTCGTTCCCCTGGTACTGTGGTCTATCAGGAGTATTATGGAGGCCACTATAGAAAGAAAAACAGCCACACATATAATAATGCTGTGGAAATATAAACCCCTAAATCAAGATAATGCTCTTTGGCCCTCAGTGGGTCCAAGAATCAAGGGGGGGGAGGTAATTATGTATCAGGGAGGAGGACTAGAAAGAAGCAAGCAAGTCTGTGTTCTGATAATGTAGCAGGGAGAGAGGATGGCATAACAGGGAGCTAAAACTTAAAGATCTAAATGTGAGGAAGGTCACACAGCACTGGGGGTTTGAAGTAGTCAATAGAGTTGCATGCAACCATATATGGTTTAAACCTTGCTTCTTGCTTCTATAACCTGCTTGCAAGACATAATGGAAGATCCCTTTGTTTTTGGGGCTTAGCCTCTGGACTTGAGTCTGCTGAGTCTGTGCTGGCACAATAAAGCTTGCTTCCTGCTGAACTGCCTTGGTGTCCTTTGTCTCAGTTCAAGAATCCTGCAACATTTCCTTACTACAGCACCTTCTATGGCCATGCTGTCATCCACATGAAGAGACGACCTGGAGGTCATACCCATGTTCTTGTTAGAAATGCAGAACCTCAGGGACACCCCCTAGCTGACTCAGGTCTACATTTCACCAGATCTCAGAGAGTTTATGTGCACTTTAAAGTTTGAGAAGCATTGTTCTGTACTCTTCTACTGTAACTATGGGTACAAGTCATTTTGAGAAAAAATTTCAAAAGAACGCAAAAGACATTCTAGAAATCCATCTTCAAGGGTGTTCCATACGGCATTGTTATTTAAGACAGTGAAAAGTGCAACTTAAATGCTCAAAACAGAGAAACCTGGGACAGAATTATGACACAGGCCTGTGAATAAATTCCATGCAACCATTCAGATAATAACGCAAATGTTTTCTTTTCTAATTTAACTTTTTTGGTTTAATTGCTGATAAACATGCAGTTGTAAGAGACAAAACAGAATTTGTGTTCCTTGTGTG